CACCGCCAACTCTTGGGCTACTCTTTTACCAACGAATGAATATTGGGATTGACCGTCACATTATAACGCCCCCGCGGCTTAAAGGGCGAGTATGTTTGGTGGGACAGGGATTCGAGCTCGCGACCCTCAGATTACAAGTCGAGCGCTCTAGCCACCTGGCCATGCCTGGCCAAGATTTAAATAATGAATCTTGTTTCGACAACCGTTAATGATAATAATAACTCAGGCTTAACGTTTCGGTTTATCTGAAAACTGTTGAGCTGTAAACCTACCTTGTAGTTTGTGTTTTCAAAAGTAATCTCTTCTTCAAAAATTATTTTATCGGTGTTTAGTAATTGGTCTATTCAAACTGTACCATAATTTTCTTCAGCACATATGCAATTTACAACCGATTCAAACAAAATGTTAGAAATAATGGTGAATGTTTATAGCACAGAAATACAGTATATGTTATTCCAGGCGGATTTTTCATCTCGTGTACTTTGAGGGGAAGAAAGACCGGAAAAAAACACAATAACACCAGGATGTCTTATTCTCAGAAGGAAAACAGGAACCACTCCGAGCGGTTGCAACACGTCAGTGGAAATACGAGTTCGACTCTTTCTTATTGTAATCAATCATTGCCGTTTCCTTAACATCGTTATCAGAAATTACACAAGAAGGATGTGTAGTAGAGCTTAAAAACTTGTTGAGGTAATAACGACGTCAAGTTTCTACAGATAATCCCCCCTCCCCACTGCAGTTACTGACGCTAAGAGTTTGAATAGTTAGTTTAAGACATTGAATTTTTTACAACAGGCATTTCTGTGATTTTTCAAGGACGTTACACGTGCTTAATTTGTTGATTTCTACTTTAAAAGGAAAGGTAAGAGAATTCTTGTTTTAAAGTCTTTACTTCAATGTTGCTTTACTATTTCTTGAAGGACTAAAATTGTCGTATTCTGTAAAATGGATTAATTTTTTTTTGAATAGAAGACAACGTAATTTAAGGGGAAGTAGGCCAAAAATGCTCCCCCTTTTCTTGTATAATTTCTTATGTTATTTTGATCAGTTTCGGAAACTGAAGCCTAATTATACATCTGCGGCCCAAAAAACAAAAATGCTCCCTCGTTTCTCGTATAATTTCTTATGTTATTTTGATCAGTTTCGGAAACTGAAGCCTAATTATACATCTGCGGCCCAAAAAACAAAAATGCTCCCCCTTTTCTCGTACAATTTCTTATGTTATTTTGATCAGTTTCGGAAACTGAAGCCTAATTATACATCCGCGGCCCAAAAAACAAAATTCTTCCCCTTTTCTCGTATAATTTCTTATGTTATTTTGATTAATTTCGGAAACTGAAACCTAATTATACATCCGCGGCCCAAAAAACAAAAATGCTCCCCCTTTTCTCGTATAATTTCTTATGTTATTCTGATAAGTTTCGGAAACTGAAACCTAATTATACATCCGCGGCCCAAAAAACGTTTTGCATACAACAAAGGCCAGTGTTAGCCTTGGTTTCCTGTTGCTATAAATTCAAAGTTGTGGATGATAGAAATAAATCAACCGCATTCCAGACAACTACCGTCTGAGTGAGTGCTGGTCTTTAGTTTGGGATTCAGTTTTGCTACACTTACTTGTGACATTGGATAGCAGAAAAAGAAAGTTAATGGAATATTTATATTCTCCTATTATAACTTACATTCATAAAACTTGCCCATCTTTTGAATGTCAGAGAATGCTGAAAAGATTCAATTTCTCTAAAGCTGAACCTTACTAATATATTAAAAAAAGAACTACCTGCAATCCATATACATACAGAAACTTTATAAAAATATCAGTCATTTATGTTAACACAATTAGACTGAATTTTCATTTAGGCACATTTACTGTTATTTTAAATGAAAAATTCACATGGCCTGGTGGTTAGGGCACTCAATCTGAGGGTCGCCGGATCGAACCCGTCACTGAGCATGTTCGCCCTTTCAGCCGTGGGGTCGTTGTAATGTGACGGCCAAGTTCACTTTTAGTTTAGAGTATCCCAGGAGTTGGTTGTATGTGTGTGTGTGTGACTAGATGTTATTTCTCTAGTCTATAACTTTTAGGGTTAGTGCATACAGTCCTCGAGTAGCTTTACGAGAAATTTAACAAACAATTTTAAAGTTTTCCTGTAAAATATACAGTTCATTTTATAAAACAACAAGATAATTTTGACATCTTAATTTTTTGTGTTATATATATATATATATAAATAACATTTAACACTCTCTCCAGAAAATACCGGATCCGATGTAAATGTTATTCTTATCCGTATAAGAACTGACGTAATAACTACAGTATTTTAATTACTATATTGGCTTAAAAAGTTTGATTTATTTAACTAATCGTTATCTATTTAGCATTTTTACTCTTATAATGTGTTCAGACTTCTTCTTTCACGAACAAAAATATAACATTCATAGATTTTTGATATACTTTCGTCTTTTATGATTTATCTTATATTTTCTTCTGATATCATTTGACTACTCTTATTTTTCATCATGAAGATCTTAATATAATTACACATTATATTTTTGTCCTTTTATTTTATTCATTTTTTGGAAAATATTTAAATATTTTCATATACGTGTTTCAGTCGTAGTTGAAACAGCTACTGATTTTACCCATCTATATGTAGTGGAGAATTTATCATAATTCAGATATATTCAGATAATTTTTCTAATTTTAACAGGGGTTCTGTGTGTAGTTATTGTAACCTGGATGTAAGATTAATGCTAATCCTGTTAGTTGCGTAAAAGTCACATACAGCATCACTAGAAGCCTAGAAGTTCGCCTCGTATTGGCTTTATGCCCATATCTACTCCCTGGTCAAGGGGTGACACAGATACTTGTGCAAAGTGGTATAAATTTAGCGTTTTCTCTGCTGTATGTGTTATTTAAAATTATTGACGAGGTATTATTTTATGAGAGGGTTAGGTAGGGTATACATAAAGAAATAGATGAAGCTAAAAAGGAAACAACTGTCTAAAATCAGAAAATTTGATGTTTCTAGATGTTGTCAAATTTTTTGATCTAGGTAATTGATGACGTATTTAGCTAATGGTTATGGAACCTTGACCTTTTGATCTGAAAACGTGGTAAATTATAACTTGATGTACTTGTCTTGTGCGAATGCTTCAGATCTCTCATCCCAGCAGGCAGTGAGAAGATTGTATACAGAATACGGATGCCGGACAATAACTTACAACTTACACAATTTTCGTGAATGAAGATTGTATTATCTGTTCACCTGTGCACTTGTTTCTTCTCTGCCTAATGTTTCTGGAGTCCGAGTTTTTTTGGGTACTTTAAACTTTTGTTGAATATCAGCGTACGCGAACAACGTTTCTCGCGGCTGACGAGTGGTATTTTAATGTTTTATGACCGTCCAAGACTATAGTGCTAGGTATACAGTAAATGCATTAATTTAGAAAAGTTTCATACGCATCTAACTTTTGTTTCTTGAAGTTTTCATTAGTCTCGGTTATGACAATGGAACGACTCCTGCTATAACCTGAATTTGAGGAAACATTCACGCCAATAAATTTTACATTTGTCTTATTTAAGTTACTTTGTGACTTGTTTTTCTCGCTGTACAAGAGTTACGTATCAAATTTAGTACCTAGTAGTACATTATTTAAACTCCCATTGTATTATATTATATAATAACTGATGGGGATATAAAAACAAATTGAACTTGTTGCTCTGGCCGACATCTGGATGTGTTTACTTCCACTGTTGCACTACCAACATCCGAGTTATCTCAAACTTTTTCAAAGGTTTGAGACGACTCTCTTTCCTAACCCAGCCTTGATTTGCTGAAGCGATTTCGGTCTGAAGTTGCGGCGTTTAGAAATTCAGCTAGAGAACACTGCATCAAGCGTGCAAGTCATTTAGTTCCCAAGTGTGCTGCATCGGTTCTTAAACGTAAGTTTAAGTTTCGACTGTTTGTAATAAACAACGAAAACTACACCACTACCACAGCTGCACAAATAATCTTATTGGAAATTTTCCCAATGTAGATTTTATTAAACACTGTACAGATAAGTTTTTTTTAGTTGATATTAGTTCTTTAAACTGCCGTTAAGTTCACAGGAAAATTTTGCTAACGCTAATATTTATTTGTATTGGTGGTAATTATAGAAACGTTGTACTGCTATGTTATTGTCTCTCCAACAGGAATTACCCCCTAAACAAAATGTAAGCAATACACTAAATCAATAGCTCTAGTACTATAATTAACATTAATTGTATATAGGTGATCAAATCAGTAATAAATTAAAATAATGAGATTAATAAAAAATCACAGCCAAAACGTTCATATGAGAATTAAAACATAAATAAAATATAAAACACAAAAACTTTGTCCGTTAACAGTCTTTGTCAATCAGCCTTATTGGAAAATGTTTGTGATCATAGCTCTTAAAAGCGTTTGGGATATTGCATCTATCAAACATGATCCAAACGACGATGTCAACCTCGTTAACAGCCAAGGTGAATCATTGAGGGGTCAGGAGTTAAGTGCTTAAACCCACAACGTCTTAACTCCTGTTGTCTGGAGCTAGTTGTGGGAAGGGAGTTACCCCTAATCTCTAGACGCAAAGAAAAAAATTTTGTAGTAGAAATTAACAACCCTATATTTCTAGAATTTTAAGACTCCCAACTTTCACCCTCGTAATAATTATTACAAAATGATGTTCAGTGGTGTTAAATAGAACGAAAACCCTTACCTTAATAGTCCTGTAATTGTTATTATAAACTCCTAATATATTATATATAAATATGTTTAGAGCCTAGTAGAGGGCGCTGCAACAGCATGATAGAGATAAACAAATTACGATTTGAACTTGTTGCCCTGGCCCACATCTGGATGTGTTTACTACATCTACTGTTACGAAACAAAACTCAAGGTCAAACCAACGAAAAAAACTGTTAAACCTGTTCCACATATATATGGTACATGGTGTTATGAAAATATATTTAAACCGAATAAAAAGTTTGAATTTAAGTACAATGAGAAGCTAAAATGCTGCATTTTAAACCGCTTTCTGTCAATACTCTAAAATACTGTGGCTCTTTATAGTGTGATTTATAGATGGCATATACGCTTTGTATCCAAATTGAATAAGTTTTTGCCACAGACGCAAGTAGTAATGAACTCGTCACAAAACTGACCAGTAGATCTTTAGTTGTGTGTTCGACTTCTAGGAAAGCTTAAGAGCGGATTTAACTGAAGCCTGAAAGTTCCTCAAACACCAGATTACTCTAGACATTTTATTTTGGAGCAGTCTGCAAGCAGTGGAACACAGCCCACTACTACATATGCACGAATAATCTTACTGAACACCTCCTCCTCCCAACTCCACCGTTCAAGTAGATATCGTAAAGAGTTAGATAAATTTGAAAGAGTGGAACACTTCAAAAATGTTTGAGAAAAAGGTATTTTAAATTTCCTGGAGTAGCATAGTTTTTAAAGTCAGTTTCAATTATAATTGGTGACTGTTACGAAATGAAGATATATTTATATAAACTAACTGGAAAATATGACATTCTATCCCAAAATATAGGTTAATGTTAACTCATCCTCAACTTTTAATGCAGGTTAATGTTAATTCATCCTCGACTTTTAATGTAGGTTAATGTTAATTCATCCTCGAATTTTAATATAAGTTAATGCTAATTCATCCTCGACTTTTAATATAAGTTAATGTTAATTCATCCTCGACTTTTAATATAAGTTAATGTTAATTCATCCTCGACTTTTAATGTAGGTTAATGTTAATTCATCCTCGACTTTTAATGTAGGTTAAAGTTAATTCATCCTCAACTTTTAATATAGATTAATGTTAATTCATCCTCGACTTTTAATATAGATTAATGTTAATTTATCCTCGAATTTTAATGTAGGTTAATGTTAGTTTATTCTCGACTTTTAATATAGATTAATGTTAATTCATCCTCGACTTTTAATATAGGTTAATGTTAATTTATCCTCGACTTTTAATATAGATTAATGTTAATTCATCCTCGACTTTTAATATAGGTTAATGTTAATTTATCCTCGACTTTTAATATAGATTAATGTTAATTCATCCTCAACTTTTAATATAGGTTAATGTTAATTTATCCTCGACTTTTAATATAGATTAATGTTAATTCATCCTCAACTTTTAATATAGGTTAATGTTAATTCATCCTCGACTTTTAATATAGGTTAATGTTAATTCATCCTCGAACTTTTAATATAGGTTAATGTTAATTCATCCTTAAATCAGAACGTTGATTTTACTTTGAAACTTAAACTTTCACTAGAAGGGTAGAGCATGCCCTAGAATACCAGTGGAGTAAGGATGCGCAGTAAAAGTGTAATTTACTTCCTTGAAAGCCCTGACAACTTAGTAGGTGTTTTGGAATAGGATAAAAAATCCTGTACGCAATAGATTACACTATCCGATGTACAGTAGTTTCAAAAAAGTAATCCTTTTCGTGTTCAAATTGCTGGCTAGTCCGACAGTGGCAGAGTATCACAAGGAAAACTAATAACATTCAATATAAAACACACCTACACTTACCTCGATTTGGGATAACTGCTTACAACAAGTACTGGTTACGTCTTTTAAAGATACAACCGCATAACGTTCGACAGAACTGGCTTTAAAGCAAATCAGCTGCTTAGATAATTTACCATAAGCGACCTTCATAGATTATCATACAGCAAATCTTAAAGGTGAAGCTGCAAAACCCAAAAAAACAATTAACGAACGTATCACATGTATAGTTCTATTATAGAATTTTCGTCATTAAAAACTAAACGTATTCTCTTAAGCCTCACACATACACACGGAAAAGTTAGTTCCAAATGTATCAGAATAGCCTACTTACGGAACCTGGGAAGGGACATGGAGGACAAAAATATTATCTCGTGCCCATGACTAATTATCTCGCGACCACGTGATGACGATTTCCGCGCTCGATACAGTTCCCCATGACTAGAAGTTAACGATTCCCGCGCTCGATACATTTCCTCATGACTAGAAGTTAACGATTCCCGCGCTCGATACAGTATCTCGTAACCACGAGATGATATTTTTTTTCTCTTTGTTCCTTCTTAAGCTCCGTACCTACTTGTTCGCTGAACCTACCCACTTAATTTCAGGCCTCAGCCTGTGACCGAGCAAGCTCTCTTTTTTTCGGAGGCTTTGTTTGCCATTAACCCTTGTCAAGATTTTAAACCAATGAGAATGGAAAACATCGTCACATTCTTCTAGAGCATATTGAAGTACATTTCAAACAACTTCAAGTTTAGGTCGTAACAAGGAATCTTAGATCCGCATGTTTTGCTTTTTTGTCCTTGAGTTAAAATGTTTTTTATTGGAACCGATATAGCCTTGCTAACAACAAGGACAAGTAGATTTATAAACCACATTTGACAACTTTAAAGCTGGTCCTTAAATCTAAAAAAAAAAACCAACTGTAGGCAGCTATTAGGTTTAATATACACATCAGTTGTATCTGCGGATATATATAAAGTTTTAGCAACTTTTTTTAAATAATTAAAGATGAACTTCAAATTTTCCTTTGAAATATTTAAAATATATATATATAAACTTAAAGTACAAACCAGTAAATGTTTTTGGTTGTGCACTTCACATTGTAGGTGATCATTATTATTTGTGATTAA